GGTTCCCAGTCTGGGGAGGTGGGTGGACGTCGGACTAGGTTGCCCAGTCTGGGGGAGGTTGGTGGACGTCGGACGAGTTTCTCAGTCTGGGGAGGAGGGTGGACGTCGGACTAGGTTGCCCAGTCTGGGGGAGGTTGGTGGACGTCGGACTAGGTTCCCAGTCTGGGGAGGTGGGTGGACGTCGGACTAGGTTGCCCAGTCTGGGGGAGGTTGGTGGATGTCGGACTAGGTTGCCCAGTCTGGGGAGGTGGGTGGATGTCGGACTAGGTTGCCCAGTCTGGGGAGGTTTTTAATTTTTATATTAGCCCGGCTTTTCTTCTTGAATTTTTTTCTTGGGAAGAAAACCTGTAGATTTTCCTCACAGCAAATATTTTGATTACATTGCAAAGAAACTCAGTTACACTTGACCAGTGGTGTAGCTATGGATACTGCCGCAGGTCAAAGCCGCAAATTCCCCCCCCCCCCCCCCCCCCCCACGAAAATAAGTCTGCAGTTGTCCGAAAATGCTATCCCTAAATTTGAAGAAAACAGTGCATGATTGGCCTTAATGCCCCATACCCTTATTTCCCACATACACCACTGCATTTAACTTACAGCTATCAATGACCAAAACAGTAAAACTTACGTGAACTTTCACCTCTGGACTCTTGAGAAATCTCTAAAACAAAATAATTGCACTTGAATATTCCATGGCATGCGGGGACTATCTCAAGGCAAAGATAACTCTTGTATTGTATGTTACCATAGCACCCGGGGGTTTATCTAAAGGTAGAGATAACTTTTGCATTATATGTCGAAAAATGTTACACCAAAATATTGTATACCTAATTACCTGGAGATTTTTTTGGGGGGTGTAAAAATTATTGGAGTGTTCCACATTCAAACCAAATAATATCAGATCCACCCCCCACCCCCCCCCCGAAAAGTAGGCAATTTTAAAATGACATACTATCAATACTATATTTTTATTATATTTAAGAAAGTGCTACAATTTGTGAAATGGGCTTGTGGAAAGGGGGGGGGGGG